CGGCGAGGACTTGTGATTTTATCGTCGTCCGTGGTTGATACGTGATATCATGCTCGCTCAATTCTATAGCCCACTTAGCTAACCTTCCTGATATCTCGGGTTTATGTAAAATACTTCTCAAGGGGAAAGTTGTGACTACCGAGATGGGACGGCACTGGAAGTAGGGTATAAGCTTTCGTGAAGCTACGACCAAGGCCAGCGCCAGTTTTTCGAGGTGAGAGTACCGCATCTTGGCGTCGATTAAGGTTTTGCTAATGTAATAGATGGGAGATTGCGTACCTTTGTCTTCTCGGACCAGGACGGCGCTCACTGCTGCTTCGGATATGGTGAGGTAAACGAGGAGACATTCTTCAGGTTCTGCTTTGGCGAGCAATGGTGGTGACGATAGATAAGCCTTTGACTCCTTCAGGTCTTGAACGCACTCGGATGTCTATAGGAGACCATTGTCCTTCTTGAGTACACCGAAAAATTTATGGCACCTGTCAGACGATCATGAGATGAACCTCGACAAGACGGCGATGCGGCCGGTTAGCTTCTGAACCTGTTTCTTGCTGGTTAAGTGTTCTTGTATTCCCTCTATGGCCTTGATTTGGTCGGGGTTGACCTCAATGCCTCTTTGTAACACCAGGAAACCCAAATATTTTCCCGAGGTTACGCCGAACACACACTTCTCGGGGTTTAATTTCGTTCCGTACTGCCTGAGTATGTCAAAGGCCTCTTTCAGGTGGTCGATGTGATCTTCTTTCTGTCTGGATTGACCAACATATTATCTATGTAGCCTCCATGGTCTTGCCAAATTGGTCTTTGAACATTCTTGTCACCAATCTTTGATATGTCGCCCCCGGGTTTTTCAGTCTGGAAGGCATCACCTTGTAGCAATACCTTCCTTGGTGGGCGATGAAGGTGGTCTTCTCCTGGTCTTCCTCCTCCATGAGGATCTGGTTATAGCCCGTGTATGCGTCTAAGAAGCTAAGAAGCTCGTGCTCGGCTGTTGCGTCAATGAGCTGGTCGATATGGGGTAGCGAAAATGAATCTTTTGAGCATGCTTTGTTCATATATGTGAAGTCTACGCATATACGCCATTTTCCATTCTTCTTTTTCACCATGACTATGTTGGCGACCCATTGGGGGTATTTTGATTCCCTGATGGAGCCATTTTCCAGCAATTTTTCAACCTCTTTACGGACTGCATCGTTTATTGTGAAGTTGAACTTCCGCCTAACTTGCTTTAACGGGAGGGGGGGGGGGGGTAAAATTGATCGACGTTCAATTTGTGTGTCGCTATCTCTTTCGGGATACCTGGCATGTCTGCACGGGAAAAGGCTAACAAGTCCACGTTGTTAGTTAAGAAATGACAGAATTTACCTGGTTCCTGAAGCTTGTGGCTGATGTAGGTTTTCTTGCTGCGGTCGTTATCATCAAGTTGGACGGGGTCGAGGTCATCTATGGTTGATACCATGGCCTCTATTATTTCGGGGTCTTTGATGATGTTCTCCCTTTCATCACTCTCGACCTCGACCCTGTTAATTGTTATGCCTCTTTTGCTTTGCCCTTCATTTGTTGGGTGTATGTACAATCCCGGGCGATGCGATAGCATTCTCGAGAAGTACATTGTTCCTCCCGTATGCTGAACACTCCCCATGGTGTGGGAAATTTGATAACTTGGTACAAGTTGGAGGGGATGGCTTTCATGGCGTGTATCCAAGAATGACCTATTATGGAGTTATACGCCGTATCTTGGTCCATGATGTGGAATGTGGTTTCTGGGGTGACGCCGCCGGCCAGGACGGGTAGTGTGATTTCTTCGGATGTTCGTTCAATGGCATTGTTAAAACCGGTTAGCGTGATGCAGTGTGGCACTATCTTGTCCTCGAGTTTCATCTGCGCAAGTACTCGAGGGTGGATAATGCACGCGTCGCTCCCATCGTCCACCATAATGCGTGTTACATCTGTATCTAATATTCGTAATGTGATAACGAGAGCATCATTGTGAGGGAAAACCAAATCGTAGGTATCTAACTTGTCGAAGATGATACTTTCTTCGAGTTCGCTATACCGTTCATGGGTGATCAACCGCTTGAGTTTGTGGGTCGGGGTGAACTTTACGATGTTGATCAATGCATCGTCTCCGCCTCCGATGATCATTTGGATGGTGCGAGTTGGTGAAGGTGGTTTTGGTTGGACCCTGGTGTTGATCACGTCCTCGGGCGAAGTTGGCCCTTCCCCGGTCGCTCAACAGCTCTTTCAAGTGTCCTTGCTGAAGAATGTTCACGACCTCTTGCCTTAGAGCGATGCAGTCCTCGATTTTATGACCTCGCTCCTGGTGGAATTCGTAGAGGGCGTTCGGCTTCCTGGTGCTTGGATCGGACCTCAGCTTTTATGGCCACTTCGCTTTCAGGCCGAGCTTCTCCAACGCGTAGACTATTTCTGAAGGGGAAACGCAAAAATTGTGAGCAGAAAGTAAATGGGGCATACCTCTCTCGCTCCGGTGAGTCCTTGGCCTTGGCCTAGGTGAACCTTCTTCGTGACAGGAGAGGTGCATGATGGGACCCCTGATATATGGTTGATGCCTTTCTCGATTGGGTCGTGGAGCTGCTAGATCTCTTCTGGCATCATTTCTTCGGTCCTTCCTGGACTCGGCTTGTACCGAGGTCAACCGTTGGTCAGCCCATTCAAGTCGTCTTTGTCATCACGGACTTCGACACGGTAGGCGTTGTGTATTTCGTCCCAAGTGGTTGGGGGATATTTCATAAGCCAACTCAGCAACTTTCTGGTCACCCTCGAACCGTTCCTGTTCATCCCGTTTTGGAAAGCTGCTATAGCCATGCCTTCTGATACATTTGGCAATGTCATCCTTACACGGTTGAACCGAGCGAGGAAGTCCCTAAATCCCTCTCCGGGTGCTTGTTTGATGGAGAATATGTCGTCCACTCTTGCTTCTGCCTTTTTCGCTTCGATGGGGCCGTTACGAACTTGCCGGCCATTTTTCAAATGTTTTAATGGAGCACGCGGGCAGCCATGAATACCAAGTTAATGCGCCTCCGGTGAGGGTTTCGCCGAACTTTTTCAATAGGATGGAAGATACTTTTTCTTTGGCGAGATCGTTGCCCTTTACCGCGGTGACGTAGTGAGTCACATGATCTTCGGGGTCGATCGTACCGTCATATATTTTTAGGTAGGGAGGCATTTTGAAGGTTTTGGGTATGGAATGCGGTGCGGCTTCGTCACTGTAGGGTTGTTCCACGAACCGACCACCATCTCTTTTTGGTAAGAGTTTTGGTGTACCTGGTATTTTGTCTACCCTTTCTTGATGCTCTTTCGTTTGGTCACGAAGCATTTTGTTTTCGTTTTCCATTTCTTCCATCTTCCTCAGAATGGTATTGTCACCTGCATTATTAATATTGTGAGTGGTACCTGTTATTGGAGGGAGAGGGTCGTACTGCTCGGCCATCGTTGGTGCAACGCAAGTCGCATTTTCTCTGATTGCTTTTTGGGCTGGCTTGTCGAGGATGCCGGTCAGCGTGTTTGTTAGCCAAGCCTCAAGTAATTTCTTTACTGCGGGCGGTGCCTCTTCCATTGTGGACATGGAAGCCCCTTTACCGCGGGACGTTGTGATGCTACCATGAGGGAGGGGTGAGCCACTTCACCTGGGAGATGCATTTGGCGTTACATCTTCGCCCTCGGTTTTAGAATTTTCGTTGATGGTGTTTAAGAGGTTGGCGGGAAGGTCGGCCACTGCCTTCATCCTCTCCTCTTCGTTTCCTGCCATGTTAGATCTGTGCGTACCAAAAGGTAGGGGGTTTTGCCCTCTTTTTTTTGGCTGTTATGGATCTAGAAGAAACTAAAATTTTAACTGGAAATCCCCACAGACGGCGCCAAATTGTTTGACCAAAAAATATAAACCTTTGGTTGAACTAATTAATTTTATATAATGAGGGGTTAAACCTAGTTAATAATAATAACTTCAAATCTATAATCGGTCTAGGTGGGTGATGTTGAACAGTATTGGGAGAGAATAAATGCAAGTGTATTTAATGTTTCAATGTCAACAAGGGGAGAGGAATATCAAGCGTTAAATTACAATAAATGACACTAAAGTGAATAAGGAGAGTGATTCACCCAATATTGAATGAGGTGGATGATCCTTCCTTCTCACAATGATGAATGACAGACAAATATGAGAATATCGGAGACTTTCTCGGATCTGATGGAAAAAGTATAGAATAATCAACAAAAACGAATATCTTTAGAAATGTGATGTTTGTATTTATCTAGAGAGAGTCTGCTTTTCAATAGTGTTCTTATCAGAGAATATTACATGCCTATCACCTGATCTCTCTTTCTATTTATAAGAGACATAACCCAATGAACCCTAAAAGTACAAACACCTCAAAAATCCCGTTACTAAACTAGCCGTTATCGCTCTTTCTGGCACTTTATCTCGGCCATGATCGACTGCTCGACGATGAGTTCCATTGGTCATTAGTCGACCTCGGCCAAATTGCTTTCAGTGATACCACTTCGTGTCGAATATCCTTAGTCAGATTTCGACCCATGCACTATGAATCTTAGACATAATATAAATAACCATACTATTTTTCAATAGTATATTAAGTACAAATTAATTTCGCTAGTTGTTATTCTCAAATTGAACAAAGAGAGAAAATTGTGTATATAATGCATAATGTACTTGAAAATTTTATTAGGACCTTTGTACATGGGATTTTTGGTGGCAAAACGGGTCTCATAAATGGCCAGGAAACTGGAAAAGAAAGGAGTATGATTTTTAAAAATTGAAACCGAGAAGTGTCCCGGCTTAGTATTCTTTCAAAAAACCATATTGCTAATATGCTTATTTTTCCTCAAAGACCAAGAAAAAATATTGATACCAGAAAACTACTCCCCGGCGAACAGAGTTCCGATGTTTTGGATCGGAAACTCATAGCAGACATCCTGGATTAATCATGTAAGCCTGTATTATTAGTATCCTGACGTCGCTTTTCCTTAATTTATGAACTAAAAGACAGATGCACTCATTGGATGTAAAAACGGACATCAATCATGGCGTCACTTTGGTTAAGCCCTCCTTTTCGCTATTTGTTTATATCATAAAGATAAACCTGCTTTTTCCCTTTCACATATATTCGCTTCTACTGTTACTAGCTATATAGTAGCCGAGCCGGAAAACGTTATAATGTGAAAATGGGGAGGACAGCGAATCGACGGGCGCAGCAAAAGATGCTTACATGCTGGCAGGTGTCACCCCACCAACGGCTCCCAATAAAATTTAGTACTACTATATTTTATTCTACTCTACTTTACTTTTCCATTCTTTCCTTTCTAATTCCAAAACCCTGTTTGTTTCTCCTGGGAGTAGTAGCCTCTCTACTCTTTATCATTTTGAAATTCAGTGGCAGCTAGGCTTGATTTCTTACAACCGAAGATCGCCGCAGGCAGAGGGAGGAAGCTTCCTGTTGTTTCTAATTCTTCTCTGTGATGAAACTGATACATCAGAAGTTGCACCAACTTCTCGAGTGATTCGGGTTTCTTTAATCCCTCTCTTCATAATTCGACTCAATTGAACATCCTTAAGGTAAAAGACTTTGAAATCTTCCATGCTGATAGTCCACTTGGTCGTCTGTGCGAATTGAATTTTCTATTGATGCTTATGTATCCCATCTTTAATTTTTTTAATTCTACACATACGATTTAAAGTATTTTTTAACTGGTTTTAATTTCTGAGTCGCTGCAACTTTAACAAAGTTGGCGAAATCCTTTTTTCTTTTAGTATCGAAAGGTATCCTTGTTTCTCTACTGGTTATATGATCATCAATAAGGGACCGTAATCAGCAGTTCTATTTGGTATTTAAAGGAAATGAGTGGAGCCGTGCTTGTAGCCGTTGCAGCTGCAATTGGCAGCTTTTTGCAAGGATGGGACAACGCCACTATAGCTGGTAATCCTTTCACATATGGCATATCGCTTCAATACTGATTTGTTTTTGTTTTTGTTTTTGTTTTTAACTAGTTCATCTGATGTTAATCCGTCTTTCCTCCTGAAAATCTTATTGCTTTTGTATGTAATCTGGTATCTTGTGCAGTCGGTGTCTGTGATAATTTATTCTGATTTCTAACGAGGTTATCCATTCTGTTCTTTCCGTCCTTAGATGTTACTCAGAGTCTCAATGATATCTTTCAACTGATTATGATTCTCTACTCTCTCTTTTTTTCTGAATACAGGGGGCATTCTGTACATTAAAAAAGAATTTAAGCTGGAAACTCAACCTACTACGGAAGGGCTTATTGTTTCCATGTCACTTATTGGTGCTGTCTTGATTACAACTTGCTCTGGTGCAATAGCTGACTGGCTTGGCCGTCGTCCCTTGCTCATAACTTCTTCGGTTCTTTATTTTGTTAGTGGCCTTGTGATGCTTTGGTCTCCAAATGTGTATGTTCTACTTTTGGCAAGACTTTTGGATGGGTTTGGTGTTGGTTTAGCAGTTACTCTTGTTCCTATTTATATATCTGAAACAGCACCACCAGAGATAAGGGGTTTACTGAACACTCTACCTCAGTTCACTGGCTGTCTTGGCATGTTCCTTTCATATTGCATGGTTTTTGGCATGTCGTTGATGAGTTCTCCCACTTGGAGACTGATGCTTGGTGTACTTTCCATCCCCTCCGTTCTGTATTTTGTATTGACAATATTTTATTTGCCCGAGTCTCCCAGATGGCTTGTGAGTAAAGGGCGAATGCTAGATGCAAAGCGTGTTTTGCAGAGGCTCCGTGGACGGGAAGATGTCTCTGGTGAGCTCATGGAAGCTGTATTTGATTTTAGACTTTTTAGTTGTATCATAAAAATTGCAAAATATATTGCAACCTAGACAAATGTGTCCCCCTAAAGAAAGAAGAGTGACCTAACATTTAGATGGCTTTTTACAAGCAATTTGGCGTATTTTCCCACAGTCACATTATCCCCCAAGTAGATCATATCTGGACAGGTTCACCAAATTTGATTAGTTTTTTCTTATTATAAAACTTAGCAATTGAAGATTTAGTAATACTGCTAGCTCATGATATGAAAAAGATGCATAGATAGATAATCCAGATATTTGATTATCAAATAAACAACATAGCCATAAAAGAAATTAAGAACTAAAAACATGTGCAAATAGATGTTTCAGGATAACAGAATTTTCTTGTTACAGGAGTGCTAGTTTGTAATGGAAATCTCTAACTAAGGCTAACAAAAACATTAGAAGGAGATCTTAGTCATTGAATATATTGACTTGTTTGTTCTATTTATTTTTACTTTGAGTAAAATATCTGTAAAATTCTTTGCTTCTTTTTCCTCTGGGTTTTTGAAGGAGCTCTATAATTAACGTAATCGGTAATTAAGTCATTCGAGAAGTGGACAATTTATCAATCGAAATAATAACATCCGACTATCAAATTAACATAAATATTTACACCTTTGAAGCATCAAATTTCGAGCTTTTTTCCAGAGCACTTTGTTTTTTCTTTTTTCCCCTTTTCTTTTCATCTTTTTGACTTATTCATTAAGGAATCTATGTACAACAAATAACCTGACCAATTTATTATTGAAATGTTTGAATTTCACATTTCATTATTCTATTATTTTAAATATCTAATCTAAGTCCCAACCAGCACAAAAGTTTCTCTCCTTTTTCTTTTTGGTGTTTGCTTATTCTATAATCGTATCTTTATTAGGTGAGATAGATTAACTATAAGTCTGGATGCTAGCACGTTCCTTCTATGTTGGGACGTTAAAAAATGTTTGACAACATTCAACTTGTAATATCATGTTATACAACTTTCTTAAGTTTCAAGAATTTTATTTCATTTAACTAGTCAAGTGCAGACTTTATGCTTTGCAACTACTAATTTGATATTTCATTTTGCTACTACTTATACTAATAAACAGGTTGTTAAATCTTAGTAAATGGTGTTACATAAATTGGAAGAAAAGGAGTATAAGATATTGCAATTTTTTATGAGTATGCTCCCTGAATGTTTTCCTATTTATTGATTAGTTCTTTTTGGAATTCCTTTGTTTTGACAAATCATATGATGCATTATTTTTGGACATAATGGAATAGGAAGACGCTTTTCTAATTATTCTGAATTTTGACACATTATACAGTGTATGAATTGATAAGGCACGCAAAATTGGGGAATTCTTAAAGATTTCAGGAGATGGATTTTGTCTAACGAAGACGTCGTCTAGCTCTTTCATTACTTCCTCCTCCCTCCATCCCAAATTAGTTGTCATGTTTCACTTCTCGAGAGTCAAACTCTGTGAACTTTGACCAACATATTTAAATGTGTTTTTTCATCATATTGACATAACAAAATTGCAACTTGTTGTACTTTTCGTGTTGTTCTTCAATATCTAAATATTAGTTTTAGAATACTGAGTTGATCTAATCCAATTCAGCTTTGAAGATTAATCAAATTAACTCTCGAGAAGCAAAACAAGACAACTAATTTGGGATGGAGGGAGTAATTTTGATTTTATTAATGTTAACAGTTGTTAAATTGCATGACCACCTCATTTAAAAGTTTAAGCTAGATAAGATATGCATTCATCATATGGACACATGCTGGCCTGATTCTTTTACATGGGCCAAGCATGTGGACTATACTGTTTCAATATGTCCAATATTTACTTGGGCATATAGCCAGAAGAGTAAACTTTGGTGATTGTACTAGCTTGGTTCTGTAGAGATTACCCTACTTTGTGTAAAATGAATCTGATATCTTGCTTTGTGTACCGAAAGTATCTGTGAACTTATCATGCTTGTGCCTTTGGCTGTAGTGCTGCTCGGCTTCCTTTAGTTTATCAGTGATCTTAGGTTTCCTGATGAAACTGGTAAAGTTAATACTGATGCAGCTTCTATTTACAGGAGAGATGGCTTTGCTAGTTGAGGGTCTTGGAGTTGGTGGTGAAACATCAGTGGAGGAGTACATTATTGGTCCAGAAAATGAACTTGCGGAAGACCAGGAACCAACTGTTCAAAAAGATCATATTAGGTTATATGGGCCTGAACATGGACACTCTTTGGTTGCACGGCCTGTCACGGGGAAAAGCGTAGTTGGTGTTGCATCTCGCCAAGGAAGCACATTTGCACCTAATGTGCCCCTCATGGACCCTGTTGTCACTCTATTTGGCAGCGTTCATGAAAAGCTTCCGGATGTGGGAAGCAAGGGAAGCATGCTCTTTCCGCATCTCGGCAGCATGTTTAGTGTTGCTGGAGATCAAACAAAAAATGAAGAGTGGGATGAAGAAAGCCTTGGCAGAGAGGGCGATGATTATGCATCTGAGGCTGCAGCTGAAGAATCTGATGACAATTTGCAGAGCCCACTGATATCTCGTCAGGCAACAAGCATGGAAAAGGACATGGTTCCGCCTCCATCTCGTGGAAGTTTTTTTAGCATGATGCAGGGTAATGATGGTGAACCAGTTGGCAGTGCTGGCATTGGTGGTGGATGGCAGCTTGCATGGAAATGGACAGAGAGAGAAGGTGATGATGAAAAGAAGGAGGGAGGTTTTAAAAGAATCTATTTGCATGAGGGTGGAACTCATGGAACTCGAAGGGGATCTTTAGTTTCTCTTCCAGGGGGTGATATGCCTGGTGGTGGTGAATTTGTTCGTGCTGCTGCTTTGGTGAGTCAACCAGCTTTATATTCGAAAGATCTGATGGATCAACATCGTGTTGGACCAGCTATGATTCATCCGTCTGAAGCATCTGGAAAATGGCCTAGTTGGAGCGATTTATTTGAACCAGGAGTCAAGCATGCATTGATTGTTGGTATGGGAATCCAACTACTTCAGCAGGTAATCACTAATATTACTAGAATATAGTTTAACTACTGTCTTTCTTCCATACATTCCCAAGGTCAGTCTGTCTCTATTGCAGGTAGGTTGTGTTCTCTCCTTAAATCTGGACTTGAGATCTGTAGATTTCTTGCTTTATTGCAAAAATTTTTGGAGTTTCTATTTGGCGCAGTTGCTATTTTAACAGTGATTCTGGAGACCTTATGCAGCTAAGAGTTAACTAGAAGCATTTTCATTTCTTCAAAAGATGTAGTACACAAATTCTTTCCAGACCTTGTCATTAGGGTTGTATTCCTGCCTTCAATCAAAATATCTATTGATAGGTCAGGATTGGAGAAAATTTCTCTGCAGAATCCTAAGGGGTTAGACTCTTCATCTTGAATTGAAACTGAATCAAAGGATGACGTGGATATGTTGTGATTGGGCACGATTTATCTTGAGGATTTTTTTATAGATCGAGAGAAGCAACAAAAGAATAAGTGAACTTGATAACTATTAGGCTGATTCATGCTAACCATTCATAGAGATGGATATTGGTGAGACTTCAGTCAATACAGAATGATGTTTAATGAGTCAGTTTTGTAAGGTAGCATTCTAAATATGATACTAGCAGTGACTCGTTGGTTACAGTAGTTTACTTAATCAATTAATTAACAAGACAAGCCTATTTCTTTTCCTTTTTTTATTGAAGAATTGAAGAAGAACCTTTAGGCAGGCATGGTATATTCAATTTCTCAAGAGAGGGAGTATGCCTCATGCTTCATGCTGGTTGCTGATATTTGAAATACTTACAAGTCCTGATGGTACTGCTTCACAGTTGTCCTTTACGGCCTCGGATTTGAATATTTCTTTTAGGCCTGGTCGTCAAGATTATGACCTAATTTAACCTCCTTCCATTAAATACAGAAACAGCACTATTGTAAAGATATTCCTACTTTGATATCTTTGTGATTTTTCTATTTCACTTTGTCTTGATTCAGCATCCTTGCATAGGAAATGCTAGAGTCAGCTTGGTTTACACTGTATCAAAGACTGTCTGCCTCCCTTTCTAACACCTGTTCGTGCAGTTCTCAGGAATTAATGGAGTTATGTACTACACTCCTCAAATACTTGAGCAAGCAGGTGTAGGAGTTCTTTTATCAAACCTTGGCATCAGTTCTGCTTCTGCATCTCTGCTGATAAGTGCAATCACAAATTTCTTAATGCTCCCTTCAATAGCTGTTGCCATGAGGCTTATGGATATCTCTGGCAGGAGGTAATTACTTTTGAGTAACTACTATGGAACAAGACTGAATATGATGTTTTTCGTAGTGCCTTCTCCAAATTGTTCACAAAGTATTTTGGTTTGATTTCTCATCTCCAATTGTGGGGTATTCTTTTTTGTTTTAAGGGCACCCCCTTCTTTTTTTAAAGGTCTAATCCCCTCATTAGTAGATGTGTCTGGAATTTGGACGCAATGCATCTCCATTGCAGTAGACTGTTTGCTAGTTCGAGATGGAGTGATGGAGACGTCACAATAATTTCTATGCTTTAACAGATGGAAGATTGAGGGTGCCCTTTGCCATTATTAGCACTAGAGAAAGTATAACAGTAGCAGGATGTAGTGGGAGTTCAAACCAGTGAGTGTAAAAGGAAAAAGAAACCTTCCCATGCACTAAATTGTTGCCATCTTAAAGGAGAAAGAAAATCCCTTCATTTTTTGTACTCTGGCCTGCTTCAAGTTCACTGTTGATTTAGAGTTCAAGCAAGTTTCAATGCCTATGGGAAGCATTCTCACTCATCTAAGACAACGGGTCCTTCATCCATCTTTGTTTTTAGGTTGGCGTGGCCACATTTATGAGGTTCTCCTCCACAATGATTCTCACATAATAGACTTTAGCATCCTTTTTTTTCTTATGTTAAATATAGTAGATTTTTGTATTGTTACCTGCACTTAAGGCTGGGTAAAAAGTGAATGGATGTCCTATTGTCCTTCGATTCCTGTAAATCTGATTACTACCTTTGCCTTTCTGTATATTGTTGTATTGCAGGAGTCTGCTGCTTGGCACAATTCCTATCTTAATTATAGCCCTCATTGTTCTAGTTATTGGAAGTTTAGTGAGTATGGGAACTGTTGCAAAGGCTGCTTTATCAACAGTTTGTGTTGTTATGTACTTCTGCTCATTTGTTATGGGGTTCGGGCCCATTCCAAACATACTTTGTTCAGAGATATTTCCAACTCGGGTCCGAGGTATATGCATTGCCATCTGTGCTCTAGTATTCTGGATTGGGGATATTATTGTTACCTACACACTACCTGTGATGCTGTCCTCTATTGGCCTTGCTGGTGTATTTGGCATATATGCTATCGTCTGTGTTATATCATGGATATTTGTTTTCTTGAAAGTGCCTGAAACCAAGGGGATGCCTCTTGAAGTGATCTCGGAGTTCTTCGCTCTTGGTGCTAGGCAGGCTGCTGCTGCTAAGAACTGATCTGATCGTTTGATGACATGTTGCCTTGCCTAGTGCCTGGATTTTGTTTGCTTTAAGGTTTCCCTTGTTTGATAGAGTGGTGTTTGCTATTCAGTTTTCTAAGTTGTTTAGAACAGTGCAAGATCTTTTAATGAGTTTTACGATTCTGCCAATTACAACTGCAGTTGTTTAGAACAGTGCCATTTATTCCTGTTTGGTTTGAAATTTGGTCAATTGATTAGTAGTCATGCTTGTGAAAGGTTCTGCTGAAATGCGGCAAAGGTGTTCACTTGTTTTTTTTAAAGCATCACTTGTGGTGATTAAACAAAAAACTCATCAAGCCCTTGAAACTCAAAGGTCCATTAATCATCTTGTTATCTCCTTGATCATTTAATACCCGACTTCGTCCATAGCAGAACTGTCCCTTGACGTATCTAGCTTTGCTTCATAGAGTTGGATGTCCTCAGTCCAATAGAATATCAACAATCTTATTCTTTGTATCTCTTTTGCTGAGCTATGTTGAGGAAAGAATAAAAAAGGTGAAATAGCACCCACAACATCGGCACCAAGTATATGCATCAACTTAAAAGGAACAGAAGCTGAAAGGAAGTGAAAAGGAGGGTCAGAAGCCAATCTATATTCAGCAACTCGTAACTAACAGATATGTTCTAATTTAATAATATTCCTTATTAAGCAAAATAAAAAATAAAAAACGATTAAAGAGAGAATGTTTCAATATCAAGCATTGCAATTGCACTATCACGAATACTACTGAACTGTCACGATTTGCCAAACTATCATTAATAGCAGTAAGAGGCGGCAAAATTTTAAGTTATTTTATTATTTGGCACCAGTTCAAGTAGGCAACCCGCCCAAGATGGATCAGTCTCTGAAGATCAAAATCCCTATGGAAAGGTGACGTAATGGATTAGGTGGAAGAATGTAGGAACCATCCACTCTCACCATTCCCGTGCAAAAGAAAAGATGTATGAGGAACCAACAAGCTGTAGCATGACAATTAGCGCAAAAATCATCTGGGATCACTACTGACAAGCCTGGCCCTAACCCGGTCTAGCTTCTTCACCAAATTTGATTAGTTTTTTCTTATTATAAAGCTCCTGCTTCCATTGCCGCCTTCTTCACACCCTCCATTCCTGGAATCAACGGTGCCCTCCTTGGCTCCACTATTTTATCGGAGGACAGTGCCTTCCCTAAAACCGACAGGTCTCCCTGCAGCACAGCCGCCACTAAAGCCCCTGCCTGACTACAGTTCCAAACGTGATGGGACATGGTTATCTGTTGCGGCAGTGCCGCCCTCATTTTCTTAGTTGGGGCCTCAAATTCCGGCGGATTCACCAACACAAAGAACAACTCCTTTTCGTGAGGAAACTTCAACTGGATTAACTCCAGAGGATCGTAGCTCCTGATCAATACGAAACCCCCCATAATAGCAGGTGCCACGTTGTCCGCGTGCAGGGGCGTACGCAGGATTTTGGACAAGCGGTGTGATATTTTAAAAAGTGAATTAATAAAAAATTACTATAATATGATCATCTTTATAAAATACATCAAATACATGAATATAACCATTTTCGAAGATACAAGCGAATCACTAGAAAAAAAAATACAAGCGAACAATTTCTCGTAGTTTATATGATGTTTTTAATGCTTATTCATCTCTATTTCGTTTAATAAAATTTGTTGAATGGTTGAGACTTGGCCACTTGGGGTTAGTGTCAGTTTTGAGGTAATAAAAAAACAATGGTGCATCCACTAAGAATTGAACATGCGACCATCAATCAATCAAGAGAACAAATAGATCATCAAACCAGTGGACCGCACATCCTTATTTGTCAATGGTATCACCCTAATATTTTTTTAAAGTAGTTCTCTTTTCAATCATTAATTACATACTTAATTTAGTGGTAATTTCCAGCGAAGCGGTGTCGGATGACACCGCTTGCATGAATGTAAATCCGCCCCTGTCCGCGTGGTAACCCGAGACTTTCGATTCCGATTCTAGCCCAGCAAGCACGAGGTCAGACGCGCTCAATGGGCGACCAAAAAGCTCGTTCACGGCAACAAAGCGGCGGCGGCGGCACTAGCGGCGCTGGACCCGAGACCACAGCCCAAGGGCAATCCCTTCTAGAGGGAGAGGGAAAGGCCAACTGATCGGATGTTTTTGTTCAAACCCTATCCAAAAACCTTCCCAACAAGACCTCCCTATGAGCCTTCAAGAATGTCAAGAAACGCATGCAATGATCAACAGTTGTCGCACGACATAGAACACTATCAAGTTGCTCACAAAAGAAAGTAAAAAAAAAAACAGAAAAAATGAGAGAGTCTTACTAGTGAAAACCCTCACGGACACTGTAAGACGACGGTAAGCAAAGATGAATAAATGAAAGAGACTTGTTGGTGAAAACCCCTCGAGCGCTACTTGTCGAAAGTGAGTCGTAAAGCTGATGCGAAGAATTGGCATAAACAAGCCCGACTTCAAAGGTCATAAGAATGGTAAAAGGAAAGATTGGATTAGTTTGGTAGATCGGCCGTTAAGTCCAAAATGCATGTCATGATCATTAACGCTAGTTTAAAAAAAAAGAAAAAAAACTCTTCCTTCTGTCCTTCCGACAGGGGGTATTTCTTGTTAATATTCATTTCTTTGCATCATTGTGTCCTTCACTCCGAGTCAGTCCTTGTCAAAACAAGCAAGAAAAATCAAAATCTGCTACCAGCTTTTCAATTGCACAAAGTAAATGTAGCCAACATATTCAGTTGTTATTGTCAAAATACCTTGAGGATTCATGAAAAGGCCTCCCCCCAAAAGACTCTTGTCAGCCCATTTGGCACAAGCAAAGATAAATGGTGATTCTCTCTGATAGACAAATTGCTCAAAAAGTGTGAAGTCATTCGAGATATAAGAAAAGGTCACCTAAGAAAAGATCTCCAGTTTGGATAAGGCTGATTGAGCCACAAATACAAATGGTACTGGGTGTGAAACAATCAGGGTTGATGCCAAGCAAAAGTCTCTCGAGACCGACTCAAGATGATCGAGCAAAAGCCAAGCTGCTCAAGACTCAAGACCACAAACCGACCACCACTTTCAAAACTGACAAATCTTCTTTTTTTGAAACAGGAACAAAGCAGTGCAAGGCAAGTGGGCCAACAAAAAAAAAGGAAAAGAAGAGAAGAGAAGAGAAGAGCTGACAAAGGGAAGTTTCTCAAATCTTTGCCTTTATTTGTCTGCATGTGCATAAAATCTTGCCATTATTTTTCACATTTTTCCTCCTAGGATAAAAGTCCTAGTCTGATGGATTTTTCTCCCAATAAAAATCTTAGTCTGATGAATCTTTCTCCTAAGATAACAAAAAAAAGGGAACCTAGTCTGACGAATCTACTCCTAGGATCGCAATCTTAGTCTGATGAGTTTTTCTCCTAAGATAGAAGACTTAGTCTGATGAACTTTCTCCTAGGATAAATATCTTAGTCGGATGAATCTTTCTCCTAAGATACAAAAAAAGAGGAAAAAGGACCTAGTCTGATGAATTTTCTCCTAGGATAAACGTCTTAGTCTGATGAACCTTCTCCTAAGCTAGAAAATCTAGTCCGATGAATTTTCTCCTAGGATAAGAAACCTAGTCTAATGAATGTTTCTCCTAAGATAGAAGACCTAGTCTGATGAACTTTCTCCTAGGATCAAAATCTTAGTCTCATGAATCTTTCTCCTAAGATACCAAAAAAAAAGAGACCTAGTCTGATGAACTTTCTCCTAGGATCAAAATCTTAGTCTGATGAATTTTCTCCTAAGATAGAAAACCTAGACTGGTGAATTTTCTCCTAGGATCAAAATCTTAGTCTGATGAATCTTTCTCCTAAGATACCAAAAAAGAGACCTAGTCTGATTAATTTTCTCCTAAGATCAAAATCTTAGTCTGATGAATCTTTCTCCTAAGATAGAAGACCTAGTCTGATGAATTTTCTCCTAGGATAGAAATCTTAGTCTGATGAACCTTTCTCCTTAGATACCAAAAGAAGTAGAAAAGAGACCTAGTTTGATGAACTTTCTCGTAGGATCAAAATCTTAGTATGATGAATCTTTCTCCTAAGATAGAAAACCTAGTCCGATGAATTTTCTCCTAGGATAATACTTTTAAAAAAAAAGAAAGAAAGAAGGGAAGTCTGAATTTAAAAAAAAAAAAAAGAGGGGTCAATTTTTAGTTTTCTTAAGTTATCAATGTTTAGTGTTCCTGAAATCAGGGGCCCCGCCTGGAGAATAGGGTCAGTCTTTATTTTAGTCAAGCTTAGTTTATAGTTTTCCTAGTCTATGCTTTAGTTTACTCTCATCATTGCATCAATAGTACAAGTGGTTTACAATTTTGCTAACAACTCACAAATCTTCCTAGTGCAAACTGGGGCAGAAAAAATTTCTTTTGTTTTGTCTGTTTTGTTGTAATCAGGCGCCCACCTGGAGAACAAGGGAAGACAACTCAAGTTTCAAGGTAAAGCAGTTTCGAAGGAAGACAGTTCAAGTTTCAAGGAAAAATGGTTCAAGGTGCAAGGGAAAACAGTGTCAAGTAACAAGAGAAGACGGTTCAAGTTCAGCAATCAGGCGCCCACCTGGAAAAAAAGGGGAATTCAATTCAGAATGCAATTCAGGTCAGCAACAAAAGAAGCTCGCGTCAAGAATGCGAGTCAGCAGTCCGAGATGATCAACAAAAGTTAGTCACAATCCAGAATAAAAAGAAAAAAAAAACAAAAAGAAAGGCAAGAAGTGAATCCAAATGCAGAAGTTAATGAAAGATGTGAGTTGTTCAAGACAAGGCTGAGGTCATAAGCTCTGTATGTCCCGTCTTGGTTTGAAAAGCTGAAGAAGATTGAACCAACACCTGCGGCTAACAAGCGTCAAAATTCAGATCAGGGTCCGCATGAAGAACCAACCAAGACTCAAGATCAAGCTTCAGAAGACTCATAGATAGGAATCTTGTATGATTATTTTGACTTTATTAATCATTTCTGGTTTTTGTTTCAACTTAAAGAATTATTTCAACTATTTTTGGGTAAAGGTAAAAGAGAGTTTATTTGGTATTGTTCCGCATTGGCTTGCCCGGCAATGGTGTTGGGCGCCCTCATGGCCTATTATGGAAATAGGTCCTGACAATATATAATGAAGTAACAACATGTTCTCTTAATATCATGATTTAGTATATTACCCTATAACTATAAATGGTATGCAT